GATTTCTTTCAAAAAAGATGTGATCGTTTATTTTATGCTCTGTGCTATATCATTTATAATACAGTTAGGACTACATCCGTTTCAGCACATACCCCTGTTCTTAGTGATATAACAGCCACACCAAACTAAATTGAACCACAGAGGAATTTAACTATAAGAATAGCATATTACCATAGATTCAAAACTGGCTAGTCTGACTAAGACTTTGTCTCTGTAGTCAATCAACCTAGTCTAGTCTGGAAGTTTAATTCTTTCGTCGATTTATTCAAGATTTCACAACGCAATAGAATGGATAAGCATACCATATTCACAAAATGAATATTCAGTCACATTTAACTATTCTTCCTTGTTTCTCGTGTTAGAATGTATATTTATTAACATACTATAAAGTACGTTAATCGAATAATTTCTCATCTGAAGTTTCATAATAAATTATCAAAACCCATAAAAATCACAGAATAAACCACCAAATAGCATCAAAATCTTTAAAACAATCACGTTGTATACCGCCAAAGAACATCAAAACACTTCGAAAAACAGGTTATAAACCACTAAACGATTTCAAAACCTGACACAACCACGCCTTAAATGACCAAAGAATATTAAAACCTGCCAAAGTCATGTCGTAAAAAAACCATAATTTTATCATTATAATTTTGTTATAGACATTATTTTATACTGTTACTTTAATAAATGTATTTAGGATTCATCTAAATCACCTACATTGGACGACGTTGTGACATATTATTAGGATTATGGTCGAAAATGTCGTTAACTGTAAGATTACCTTACTGATGAAAAATGTATTCTAATCTCTTTAAGTAGTTCCTAGCAAAAGAATCATGTTCAATTAAGTACGCTCGTTACCAGGTTGATTTTTAGTTTCGTTATAAGTGGGTAGCTTATTCTGGTCGGAAGTTAATATTATTAGATCGTTGAATCTCGCCAACATCACGCTGTAAACCACCAAAGGACGTCACAACTTGCCAAAATCACGGCGTAATCCACTGAAGAACATCAAACCTAGCTCATATAACGCAGTAACTCACCAAAACACATTAAACTTGCTAAGGTAACGCCTTAAAACACTAAAGGACCCCAAACCTTGCTAATATCACATAAATAGCCACAGCATATAAAACATTATTAAAGTTATGGCGTAAACCACCAAGAGACATCAAACCTGCTAACGTTACTCCTTAAATCACCAAATGACATCAAAACCTACTAAAGTCATTCCTTTAATCACCAAATGACATCAAAGCCTACTTTAATCACCAAAGTACATCAAAGCCTGCTAACTTTACTCCTCAAATCAACAAATGACATCATATCCTGCTAACGTTACGCCTTGAATCCCTGAAAGATATCAAATTCTGATTTACACTAATTCGTATGTAACTTGTCACAACTAAGGCAATCTGAGAATGCTAATCCATTATTTTAGAGATAGGTACCGAATTTTAGATGTTCAAATCACGTGCTGATAATCAACAGTATTAAACAGTATGATAAGTATAAGGGAATAACAATGGATCAATGCAGTATCGTTGTTGTCAAACAAAACAGCTTGATTCAAAGTATGTAGGTGTGTTAACGTTAGATACCAAGCAGACAACATTGAACGAATTTATATAAAAAATTTAGGCTACAATGTGCAAAAGAAAACTGAAGACTCTTAGACAAACTAGCTTTCAGTTATATTCAAATTTACATTATACATAAAACATCTACTTGATTGGTCATCTTGATCAGGATCTGGGAGAATCAGGTGCTATGTAGAGCCCTTCTTCCCTCCGGTACTGATGTTACTGTGATCCGTTTAAGTCGTCACAGTTAAGTTAAGAGCACATAAATGAGGCTTCTGTATTCATGTAAAGTAACTATCATAATTACGTTACCCATATCAGAGTCATGTCGATATATATATTGAACGTTGAACATTTACTCTGGCACATAATTTGCTTCACTTGGAATGTAGACAGTCTCACATTACACAAATAGTTCCATATATTCCAAAGCTTGTTCATTTGGCAGTATATTTGGCAGTATATTTTGTACGTATTTAACACTAATACCCTAATAATACATAGTGAATGCACCACACAAATGATGTGGTTAATAAATCTAGCAGTAGGTGGCTGATTGCCTTACTTATTTAAAGGGAAGAACTTAGGCTTATTTACATAATGCATGATATAGCGATCTAGTGAACGCACGAGTTCGTTTTTGTTTAAGCTTTTCTGGAAGTTGGTGACAGATCTATTTAGGAGTCTGTCGTACACTGACTGTACTCTCGTATAATTATGTAGAAAAACTGAATTTGTTGTGAATCAAACTTTATGTGCTGTTTTGAGGACTGAGTTTTGTATAGTTTGTAATCCTGTCTAATTATGTGGGATGTAATGTTTCTACAACCGGACAGACATATTTCATTACCGACTGTATGTATTGTTTGTAGATTTTTAATAAGTTTCTCTATGATGAGCATGTGTTATTTTCAGATAGACTCCTGACGTAGTTCATTCGCTTTCAGATTTTGTTGATGAATTCGTTCACATGTGTTTTCCAGGTTAGTTTCGAGTCATAAGTAAGGTCTAAAAAAATTTTCCGACGTAGCAGTCTAGAGAAGGACTCCATCCTGGTAAATCTGGGGTTTGTGTTTGTTTGTTTGTAATTAAGCACAAAACTACACAATGGGCCATCTGTGCTCTGCCCACCACGGGTATCGAAACCCGGTTTCTAGCGTTGTAAGTCCGCAAACATACCGCTGTGCCACTGGGGGGGGGGGGTTACCAGCTTTATTGGAGTTTGAGAACGTAAGAACCTGTATTTTTGGTACATTATTAATTTTTATTATTTTATTTTGGCAGTATTCAGCTACATTATTAATACATTTGTGCTTGCTATAAAGGGAGTTTGGAAACTCATCCAAATTGCTACATTATTCTCAAATTGCGAAGCAAAACAGAAATTTGTGTGGGTGAGTGGCATATCGCTTATATACAAACATGTTGTAGGAGTAAAATACTCTAAATATGTGCTCTTTACATTTACCCGATATTTTCTATTATATAAGAAGATGGACAACCAGCTAATAATTCTTCGCTGTAGTTCCATGTGTAACATCCGGAACCTTAGACGTGAATGCCAACTTTTATCGAAATCCCTCTCCATATTGAGAAAACATGTGACAGTGCACTGTATTACTGTTTCAGTTAATCAAACTAAGTGATCAGTGGTTTCCCGAAATTTTCTGAAACCTTTTTGTACTTCGGGTAATTTTGAATTTCTTTCTAAGTTTGTACTTACACTGGTACTTATAACTCTTTCTGAAATTTTGCCAACACAGCTGGTCAGGCTGATTTGTCTACACAACTGGTCAGGCTGATTTGTCTACATAGCTGCTTAGGCTGATTTGTCTACACAGCTGGTGGCTGATTTGCCTACACAGCTGGTCAGGCTGATTTGCCAACACAACTGGTCAGGATGATTTGCCTATATAGCTGGTTCGGCTGATTGGTTTGTAGCTATGTGGTTTATTGACTGGTTTAGACTAGTGTTAGACTAGAGGGAAGGCTAGCTAGCCAATATTACCCACCTTTCAGCCCTCGCTCATGGCTGGAAGAGCAGACAGGTTCAGTGATGGTATTCGAACTCGCGACCCGACATTTTGTATAGAGTCCGCCACTTTCTGTACATCTTCTTCCATATATATAAGGGTTTTTACACCCTCGTTTAATAGAGGTACACAGCTTACATTTTCTTTTTCTATTAGACTTGTGACTACATTGTGTCTTAAAAGACTAAGAATTTGGAAGTTTATGTTTCACCAATATTGCAAATAATTTTTCTTTAGAAATGTTACAAAATATCGACAGAAACGTGTGATTTACATACTCGATAATAAAATGAGAAAAACTAGAAAACTCTGAATACTTTAATTGTAATAAATGAATTTGTTTTAGTAGCTAAATGGAAGGAATTTGATCAATTCCGTTTAATCTACAAAATAAACAGGTAACGTAAGCCAACCTAATTCCAATTACAACAATGTCTACTTTTAATATTATTTTACTTATACTGATTAGATTATTGAAACTAAAACACGTGGAGGTAAATAAGACAACCTTATAAAACCATATATGTCCTAAAACACTACAATAAACATAATAATCATTCTTCAAACACGCAGAACATAATTACATATATTACCCAACAAGGATTTAAAACTTGAGCTTCACTGTACAGCTTTTCAGGCTTAGCGAAACTGATGAAATATTATATTAGCCAGAAATGATGTTCTCAAATATTCAGAGTGCAGGCTGTGTTACGTAACGAGAGCTAATATCTTTATCAAAGTTAAAAACCTTACCTTCCTTGTGATTCCCTTTCTTCCTCGTTTTCGGGTATCTTGGTGTAACTTTTAAAAGTGTTGCCCATTTTTCTAAACTGGTGATCTTTTGAAGATATAAGTAACACAGATAGATCACTTCCTTAAAATCCAATTGGTCACTAGAGTGGTTTTAAAAAGGTTTCACAGTTATTGAAAATATGTTCAAGACAGAAAATTGAAATGCTTTGAATATAAATGTTAACACAATGAATTGGTTTAACATCCGTCTATAGTAAGTTGTGCATTTCTTATGTGTCTTTTTTATTTTATAAATACTAAAATATTAAAACAAGCAGACTAAAATAGGTTTAGATAAAATTATTTTTAAAAGCATTATAGAAAAGTATTCAACGAAACGTTTACCCATTTTCTTTAAATCCCAGAAGAGATCGCTTAACTGCATTGATCTTGTGATCGATTTGGATATTTTCCAGTAACTTTCCTAAAACATCAGGCTTAAAAGCAAAACAAAAAGATTATGTCTTACCTGACTAGGTTCAATTGGACAATTGTGGAAATCTTCATTCAAAAAAACTCTGATTAGATAAGGTTAGTACATACACCACTGTATTACCTGTCGTGATGTCTGTGTCTTGCGTCTCTCAGAAAGGGTTTTTCGTTTGCATATGACATATATTTCAGTAAGGATTTATAAAATTCAACTAGTAACATTACATCGTTATCTGGGTTGTTCTCAGTGTTGGAGTCACCTTGACAACCGTCTTACAGAAATTATTCGTTCTTCACAGAGTAAAGTAACGTTTTCACTTGTGCTGAATTTTTGTATAAATTGCAATTTCTTCTATGTTTATAGATGTATATTTGAGACGAAAACTTGATCAATGACAGCGATGAACAAAACAACCAATACTTGTATTTGGTATATATGTTGAGCTTTGAGTTAATAAAGCTTTCAGGACCTTCAGTAGTTAGGTCAGCGCGTTGAGTTTGTTTATCAAATGGCTCATGTACTCCTTAAAAGTATATTTCACGCCCATAAACGTAGGTGTTGTATTATCTTATATAAAATGTAAAGTGAACAAGTAGCGTACAACATGACCTTGAATGACACAACACACTTCAACAATCTTCTTTGTATTTAGAAAATTGAACTGTTTTATATAAAACAAAAGAGATAATACAAATTACTCTGATAATACAATGGACATCAGTGAAAAAGAAGATTTTCAGAAAGTAGAATCATAAGCAGGATATACAAAACTGTAAACCGTCATATTGGGTTTAACAGCACGTACACTTTGGATTTTATGATATTTTAGTACTTATACGGATTTAGTTATTTCGATTTTAAATAAAAACAGAACTTCAGTTAATCCACATATGAAAATTTAAACTCGGCTTCAACATAAATCATTTTTTACATCATCACACTCTTGTGTTTTGGAATAGATTTTCTGTAAATAGAGATTTCGTAGAAAATTGCTGAAACTTACACACAAAAAAACAACAACAACAGGTTTGGCATATGATTTAATGTATGAATATTTAGGAATACTGATTACTAATTTCCTATGGCCCGGCACGGCCAGGTGGTTAGGGCACTCGACTCACAATCTGAGAGTTGCGGATTCGAATCTCCGTTCCACCAAACATGCTCGCTCTTTCAGCCGTGAGGGCGTTATAATGTGACGGTCAATCCCACTATTCGTTGGTAAAAGAGTAGCCCAAGAGTTGGCGGTGGGTGGTGCTGATTAGCTGCCATCCCTCTAGTCTTACGCTGCTAAATTAGGGACGGCTAGCGCAGATAGCCCTCGTGTAGCTTTGCGCGAAATTCAAAACAAACAAACTAATTTCCTATTGAGCTAATACTAATGAAAATATCGTCGGTTGTTACTTTTCGTTAGATTATTTGTTTGTTGTTTAATCACAAAGCTACACAATGGACTATCTGTTCACTGCCCACCACGGGTATCGAAACCAGATTTCTAGCGTTGTAAGTCCGTAGATATACTGTTGTGCCACTAGGGGGTGTTTCTTCTGCTGAAAAGAAACACAGAGCAGAAATTAAGTCTCCGAAACTCCCGGCTTTATCTTAGATATTTTTCAGTTATTGTGTGTGGATAGAGGTTGTTAGATTATAATGATCTTCTATATATCCTTCTTTTCTTTAGTATAAGTAGTAATTAGGTATATTAATAATTAGCTATACGTCATGCATGGCTAATAAATCGAAGAAAACTCACAATGCAATATAACATAGAAATATGTCTAAAATTATTTGTAATACTATAAATGCTACGATATAATAATCTAGTTATAATTATAATAAAAAAGTCAATAATCCGATTGTTTGTGAAAGTTACGTTTACCTTTTTTATCCAATTAATTCCTGATGAAGAAAGGGTTAACTTCCGAAAGAACCTCATTACCTGTGACTTACCGTATTTTTCGGAATATAAGACGCACCGGTGCATAAGATGCACCCTTATTTTGAAGACAGAGTTTTTTGGGGAAAAAAGGAGCTACAGTCGCGTTTGAAAGATTTTTATTGGACAAAAATTCAATTTGATACTTTAAAAATTAGTATATATTATTCTAAACACAAAAGAGCTCAAAATAAAAAAAAATACCGTTAATCAAAAAAAAAAAAGGTTTACTGTTATTTAGTTTGGTTCAAAACCTACAAAATCTTCATTGCTTTCACTGTAATTTATTTCTTTATTATTCAGGGAGCATCATAAATAGTTATGTTTTAAAAGAAAAAAACTACTATTGTTATAAATAACACAGTTAATTGAACTAAAATATGTATGCCTATTTGAATATATTTACACATGGCTTGTGTATATCGTATATATATACATATATATATTATTCATACCTTCGGTGTATAGGACACAAGCAGATTTTGACATCAAATTTTGGGGTAAAAAAGTGCGTCTTATACACCGAAAAATACGGTACTTTTCTTTGTACACATGTTTTTCAAGTACTGTAAGTTAATGTACATTGTAGCTAACAATCAAATATTAGTATTTCGGATACTAAAAGAAAAACGTAATTCGGTTCATAAGTTAACATCAAATAGAGTTTCAGAAACTTATGGAAAGCAGATAACAATAGTTGGGTACTTATTGTTAACGATGTTTACAGCTATAATCACTGTACATATCAATAGTCCATCAATATAATTGGGAACTTAAATATATAGAACAGTTCAAAAGCCTGGGTATCACAGCATCAGCTTTGGAGTTTTCATACAAGTATTGTTTTGGCTTACATGCTATTCGAATATTAGATATAATAAATTCGTTTTGGAATTGAATAATTGAATAATCAATTATTATTCAATATATGAACCAATTGAATAATCAAATTTAATAGACCCTCTTCTAGCCTTGACTACAAAGGGTCGAGTATAAATTAAAGTGTCCATTTAGCCACGTTCTGCCCTATTAAACGACCATACAGAGGAGAGTCCATTCAAAAGGTTTCATTCTAAAGATTTCATGCCCAAAGCGCTCGTCTCCTCGCTAAATGTTTTCCATAATCCATTTAGTGTACAAAAAGAACAGTTTTCTAATGTCCTTTTCAACAGTCCAATCACATAAATATCCATGGACCCTGCGTCCAGCTGCTTGACTGATATGTCTTTATATCGAATAGCATGAATTCTTATCTCATTATCTAAGTGCTTGTCGTATGCGATAATTGAACATATGTTGGTGAGCCCATACCCCTGTTGACCCCGTTTTCGTATAGAGTATGCATTTATAAGCAGTACAAAGTGTCCAGAACATTGTTCTGATAGTATGCAGAGTTCCCCATGACCTTCATATCCAATCTCTTGCTCCTGATGTAGTTTCCAGCGGAGATAATGAATCCCTTAAAAAATTTTCGCAACATGCTGCATATCGCTTTTTAAATATTGTTTTAGCCATTGAGTGGCAGAAAATGGTATTTGACTTGTTACAATTATCATAATACACATATTCTTTGCTTCGTCGAGTGTCTTCACGTATTGCCATTTTTCCCCGACAAAGTAAATTTTATAGTTTTTTCTGCAGTTGGATTTCTTTACCTGGATGTGTTGTGAAAGTAACATGTGTACACGAGACTTTGTTACTTTTCCAGACAGAGATCTTTCTCTATCATGTTTTTTGCTGTTGCCTGAAGCACATGGACGGCTTTTGGTACTGTCCTCTATTTTCGTGGGTTACCACTTGCTACAAGAGGCTGCACCTTGCTTACCACGCTTGAGTAAGACTTGTTGAAGGTCTCTTTCTGAACAGTCCTGGGTCCCCAAGTTGATCCATCTTCCTTTTTAATTCCAATATCATTAAGTGCAAGTCCACGTCTTGTTGTGATTTGAATGTATAAATATTTTGCATCAGTAAGAACTGTTATGTATCATTCCAAAAAGTGATATCCAGTGACATCATATAACATAAAACTCCACAAAATGTCAAGATGTAGTTGTGATATAACTTTTACACACCGACTTCATATGAGCTGTTTTTATCACGTGATTTGCATATCTAAAATCGTTTTACGATAGTGTATTCAACTCAGCGTATTTTCTATGCATTGATGACACCAGTTTTTTAGACTATTTATCTATACTTACTTCCATTTTTATCCTACAGTATTTCAATATGCCGCAAGCCGTTTTTTTATAACGTTACTTTTCAATTGGTTCATATTAAAGTTAATGGTTAATTTTATAATATTTTAAGTATCTCATCATTTTATCATAAATTTGTTTTATCATCCAACATTTTTGGCAGTCAATTTTTTATTTTTTTTTGTATGTGTCAGGATTTGTTTGTAATTAACCACAGACATACGGATGTACCACTGGGGGGCTTGTGTCAGGAATAAACAAGAATCAACAGAGTGACGTTATGTCACAGCTAGTCTTCCATAAACAGCAAAGGAAAACGTTAAATCTAAAATCACTTGCTGAAAAATGTTAAAAAAAGACATGACCATTATGGAAATAAATTAGAAATGAAAATTGTCAGATGTGGTTATTTCAGAGACTGTATCCACCTTTCAAAAATGTAAGTTTTATATAAAATTATGAACAACATTTAATATATATTTAGCCAAAAATGTAACTTGAATGAATAGGGATGCAGCAGCTAATCACATATTCCAAATTGACATTGAAAGCATTTGTTCTTTGATAAAACCACATGAAGTGGTTATAGCAGATAGAGTAAATAAGGATACATTGGATCTCCCTCATGAGCTAAATGTTTAATTAAATGAGTATAACCATTGTTACGTATTACAATTTCAAATAGCCTGAAATTGAGTTATATTGTAATTTAGATTTAGAAGTTAAATAAATGCCGATATATATCCAATTTATGATATTTGCTAACAAGATTGATACACACAGAGTCTTTTTTAATAGAAATATGTTTTAATATATAAACAACAATAAAATTTACAATAACAGTTACTACAAATAGATATTACAAACAATGATTTATATACAAAAGTTTTACAAACTTACAAGCAATATAAAGTCTTCTTTCTAGTCTGAAACTTGCTTGATATCTTATCGAGGGTTCACAATGAGCGA